ATTGCACTAGCAGGACTCCTCCCATTTATGGTACTGATATGAAATTATCTTTTACAAAAGCTCTATGGGAGTGAAGTGAGTTGGTTGAGAACAAATACTGTCAGTAAAACCTGGGATAAGCATTCTCAGCCTTGACACCCTTGACATTCTGTGCTGAGTCATTCTTCCTAAGGCATTTGACTTCTAACCATAAGGTTGGTGGTTCAAACCCACGAGCTACTCTGTGGAAGGAAGGCTGGCCATCTACTTATGTAAAGATTTACCACCTTGGAAACCCAAAGCAGGTTGCTGTGAGTCAGAATCAACTCTATGACAGTGGGTTTGGTTTTGGTTTGTCCTGTGCAAGAAGTTCTGGTGGTACATTGCCTAAGGCATTGGACTGCTAACCAGAAGGTTGGCGGTTCAAACCCCTCAGCCACTCTGCAGAAGGAAGAGGAGGCAATCTACTTCTGTAAAGATTTACTGCCTTGGAAACCCAGTGGGGGTTGCTGTGAGTTGGAATCACTTCGATGGCAGTGGGTTTGGTTTTGGGTTGGTCCTGTATGTCATAGGATGTTGAGCGGCATCCCCGGACCCTGCACTCCCCCTTCCAAATGGGACAAGCAAAATTTGCCAGATATCTTCCTGGTGGATAAAATCACCCCTGTTTGGGAACCACTGATTTATAGTATGCTAATGTGGCCCCGATCATGAAGGTGGATGTAGTTGGGTGTCACAGAAAGCACGTATGTGGCGTGGAAATGGCTGAAGCTTGGGAAGCCTTGCTTAGATCGGGGTCCCTCAGTTGCAGGTCTGCTTGCTGACGTTCCTGTGTGTGTCCTTTAGCATCAGCGCTGGCTCAAGAGTGAGGCAGAAGGCCGTCCACTAGAACTTGATGCCACGATGGAATGTTCTACACCCACATGGTCCAGGGTGGTAGCTTCTGGCCCCATGAGGTCTGGAGCCCTCAGAACATGACTAGCGAGAAGGGGGAAGTGAATTATTTTATTTTGGTTCATTAAAACTTAAATAGTCTATGTGGCTAGGGGCTGCCATGTTGACCAACATACATATGAAGAAGTCATGGAGAGGGCTGGGTGATAACGCATAGGACTTAGGGTGTAGCTGACACTCTTCAGAAGTTTAGAATTGAAGCTAAAAAGGCAGAAACTGTATGATCCCACTTACATGAAATATCTACATGAGGCAATGGAGAGAGACAAGTTGATTAGTGGTTACTAGTGAGTGAAACAGACCAGTTACCGTCAAGTTGGTTCCAGCTCATGGCGACCCCATGAGTCAGAGCGGAACTGTGCTCGCACGGTTTTCAGTGACTGATCCTTTGGAAGGAGACCACCAGGCCTTATTTCTGAGGCGCCTCCAAGGGACTCAAACCCCCAGTCTCTTGGTTGGCAGCTGAGTTCATGAACCGTTTGTACCCCCAGGGCTTCTGTTTGGGTCCCCATAGGACCTGAAAAAGTACTTTGTACCGGGGTGAGTACGTAACAAAATACTTATGAACTTAGCCGAAAAACAAAAAGAAACTTAGACTCGATAATATATGTACAAGGTAAAGAATTCAAGTCTTACTAGTAGATATATGGAAAGGTCTCCCTCCTCCCCCGACGGCCGGGGGAGAATTTGTCGGCGTGTGTCCCCTTGCTTTCACGCAGTCATATCATGAACGTACCGTTCAGTCCCTTGCTTTTTTTTTTTTTT